ATCAATATTAATGTTACATATACGAAGGAAAACCTAGAATTCGTCATTTGAATCCGATATGGTTAGTTATTAACCCTTTGCACTCGAAAGGTCACTGTCAGTCACCATTAAATTTGACATACAAGATTCCAAAGTGTTGTATATAATATTAAGTTTCGTATAACGCATCAATATGTGAAATATTATTATCATTATATTATAAAATAGCTTTGTTTCTCATTCGTTAATTTCCAAGAGCGTCGTCTATATTTCATCGGAAACCGTCGAACACTTCCAGTGGAAAATTTCCGAGCGCAAAGGGTGAACCGGTTGCCCTTGTTTCCCGAAAGAGCGCCGCGCCAGAGACCCATTGACCCGGCCGGCCGTAGGGGTCGAAGTTGACCCTCGCGACGCGTCGGGGGTGGCAGCACGCAGAAAACCGAAGGAGAACAGCGCGGCCGCTCAAAGCCCGTCGCCGGGATAATTTACACGCGGCTCGCGAGCAGTTTGTTTCGCGGCGCTCGTAAATTCCAGGTCGTCTGGGACGTTTAAAACGGAGAGCCGAGAGAAACCGGCGAGCGGAGAGAGGGGAGGGGGAGAGGGAGAGCCGCCGCCGACCGTGTTTCGACGTCTATTTTCGAAGATATGATTTTTCGCTGATCCCTGCCCGGCCGGATCGAAGAAAACGCTCGTCGAGTAGCTGTCAACTGGTCTTCTCCTTCCTTCCTTCTTCTCGTTGCTCCATCATCGCGTCGGGACGACGCCATTGCGAGCGAGCGAGCGCGAGAGCGAGCCGCAGGCCGCCGCCGCCGGCTAACGGGACAATTAACCCCGGCCGTGGTGTAATTAGATGATCGAGTTAACTCTAAACCTCGGGTTAACGTCGCTTCCCTCTCGAGATTCGAGCGAAGACGAGGAGAATCACGCGGAATTAACGGCCACCGCCGGGATTCCCCTTTAGCTTTATCTCCACGGCCCTTTCTCGGCGCTGGCCGATCGCGCGCCGATGTTTCGACGTTTCGCGCGAGTCTCGTGGAACTTTTGTTTGCGACGCGATACTGTTGCACCGTTGGCCATTCGTGTGCTGATAGAGAAATTGGCAAATATGGTCATTTCGATGGGAATTAACACTGGAACTACCGTACCAGTCGAAATGACTGCTTTCGATTCTTTTGTTTAGCAATTATTGATATCTTCGAAGCATTGAATATTCGAAATGATTTTGAAAATAGTTTCATCTGAGTACTATAACGAATGTCTGATGAAACTTGAAATAATCTGTTGTTACTGTTTTTATAGGAATTGCATATTAATCGTATTCCTTTCCAGTGAATTATCGATAAGAATGGTTCGAGTGTTGTGTAAGAAACCATATAGCAAAGTGCCGAAATATTTGTGCACGATAGCGTATGCCCCGTCGACGCGATTCGATTATCTGCTCCACGGTGGAAATGGAATTATCGTGCGCGTTGCGTTACACACAACGGGGGTTGGCCGACGAAACCGCCGCGGAAGAGCGAAACGATTCTTTGACGAGATAATGGTCGCAATAACGACTTTATTGCACGGCCGGCTCTCTCTCCCCGCTTGTGTACGAAATAACGGAATACGACGGGTCGTATCGGTTCGGTACGCGAACCCGTAAACGAGCCTCGAGGGTTTTCCATGGGTTTCGATGGCGTTATCGCGTTGGGGATGTTTCTCGTTGAAATCAACCGAGAGAAGTAACATTGATATTTAATATTGAACTGTGTGTAATGCATCGGTGCGTGAAATGTTGGGATAAAAAAGCTTTGTATCTCAATTTACCTGTGATTTTGAATTCATTTCAGCAAACATGGTTTTCGTCTAGTTAGGAAATGTCAAGTATTTCTAACGAAATACTTCCGAGTACAAAGGGTTAAAGAAAATTGAATTCTAATTTCTGCGGTCGATGAGAAATCTTGAGAATTCGAATTCTCTAGGATGATTACGATGCAGTTTGTACGAAATAAGGATCGGGCAAAGATTAAAGGTTTGTTTTTACGTTGATTTTTGGGAAATTGATATCGCTGTTCGAGGAGGAAAAGTTTTGTAATCAAGGCACCAGGTTTATTAACAAGGCAAGAGTTTCTAGCCGATTTTCCTCGTTAAAGAACAACTCTCTCTCCGCGAAACGCGAATTTTATGAACGCCGCGCGCCTTGTAATACTGTGTCGGCGCAGTTTAACGAAGAGGATTTCAAACAGTATTTAACGCTCAACCTACCGGCGGTTTATTTAATAGTCCTTTAAACCCAATAATTAACGGCCGGGGATTTCTTAATCGATGCTTCCACGGCGATTGGCATTTACAGACTAACCCAATGTCCTCTTTATATAACGCGAGACAGTTTCCTTTGGACTTATTGCTTAAATGCGAATTGTTCAGCTGGTACTACATTTGGCACAGCCATTTGCATAATAGGTTGACTGCCAGTCACCGATGACCGGAGCTTCCAAATTACAAGACAATAATCAGAGCTCGTAAGATAACTGATACATCAAAATGCTCAGTAGCCTAACTTAATTAGTAGTTCTCCCTCCCTTTTGCTACACAGAATAAAACGCTGTTTCACGGCAGTGAACGTGTCAACGCGATTCAAGATTCTCAATCGTGAGTCCATATCCTCGAAATTCAACCTCTCGCTCGAAGAATCAGTAAACCGAAAAATCGAAAAATCGAGAAATCGAGAGATCGAGAAATGAAGGAAGAGCGAGGGAAACGAAAGCGGTGACAAAGAGAAGACGAATGCCCGATGGAAGAATAGGATCTTTGAACCGGGACCGTATTTATAGCCGCGGGCGCAGGATTCTCCGCGGATCCAGAGATTCCCGGCATCGATCTTTAGCCCGCGCGACGTTGTCCGTCTGCGATCTTTCTTTCCCGAATCGAATTAGAAGGGGTTCAACGACTGACACGCAACGCGAGCAAAAGAGTCCCGGAAAGAGAGAACGGACCGGACGGTCCCGCCGCGGAATAAGAACGAGAGGAGGACCGACGCGACGATAGGGCTGGGACACGGGGAGAGAAAAAGCCGCGCTAGGTGCGCGGACAGGGGGGGTCACGGGAACGAACGGATTGCCACCTCGCGACGGGCCTCCTTGCGGATATTCGCCGGTGCGGCGAATTCCTCGAACCTTCGATTCGCCGGAACGCGATTTGATCGAGCATCAACCCTTTTCACTCGACAGATTTCACTGGGAATAGTTGACCCTTTGCACTCGAGAGGTGCCTCGCCAATTGATTTCATACGGTGAAACTATACAATTTGATATTTAATATTAAACTTCGCAATGCATCAATTTGAGAATTCAAACAAGCTTTGTCCCTCGATGGAAGTGTGATTTCTCGTCGAGTTGGTTTCACAAAATATTCTGTCTTTCTCGTCGGAAGACGTTCAAATATTTCTAATGAAAAACTTCCGAGTGCAAAGGGTTAATATTTTTCGTTGATCCTTTTTGGACTGTAGTTGATTAGCGAAGAACAAAGTAATTCAATTACATTGGCTGCTACGTCATGACCAGAGCTTCTTATTTATCTTTGCAATCTTAGATATTGCGAAATATCTTTTGAAGGTTTTCATGGCAGCCAACGATAACGTTGATAATTCAGATGAATTAAACGACGAAGCTATTTTATTCAAATATTTCCTACAGCAACTTCATAGTTTCGCTGGCTATAAGTGCAAAGGGTTAACCTCTCGCTGTCATTTCCCGATTACTTTCAAAGTCAGATTCTCAACCCTCCCCGAAGAAACGTCATTTCGAGAAGAAACATTAAAACTGGAAAGACCAAGTCGCGAACGAGTTCAACGACTCGCAGCGAGAGATCGGCACTTTCCCTTTCTTCTATTATTTAAGCAGTCCACAGATAATCGAACTCCATCTGCTCAAAGTTTTCCATATCTCGAACAGCCTTCGTCCGCGGGGGGTGAATAATTAAACAGGGCGTCGGAATTCTGTTGCGCGAGTCGATCGTGGGAATATTTTTCGTGGAAAGACCGAACGTTCCAAAGAAGAGGACGCTAATTCATTCGTTTGATCAATAACGTTCGGTTATTTACAGTATTCGCCGCGAAACCCCGTGATTCCGGTTTCCTAATGAAATTCTCGAAAATCCTAATTTCCATAAAGATCCCCGGCCTGCCGATCAGATTACGTTTCACCGAATTCCGCCGCCGCCACGCGAAACGATCGGCAACGGGGGAACACGCCGATGATGGGGCTCGATCTTTCCCTCTTTCTCCTCCCGACAGGAGCATTACCCCGATCGTCGCGGGATTGCGATAGCTTCGGGATCGAGGCGGTTATTGCTAATCGAGTTTCACGGGGAGGCCGTCCTCCACGGGGTCAGGATCGCGTATTCCTCTCCGAGTATTGGACAGCTCGGGGTCTAAACGCGATTGACTTGGAGATGAGTGTTTCGAACAGATGATAGAGTGCAGAGGAATTCGGTTGTTTCACGGTGTTGCGATCCCTCGAACGGAATTACCGCTTAAATACGATCTAAGGGAGATTCCTGTGGCACTGCACGATGGACGAATTGTAGGATGTCCGGAGACAGATGTTCCTCGGACGTCACCGATTTTTCGAATGGAATCTTAAGCGAGTATCTCGAAGTCTTCTGAAGACTCGTAAAGTTATCGAGATTCGCTGAAATTTCTCGTTCGGAGAATGCAGTCGCCAAAGAGGCTGTCTAGCGTATTCGGTCGCGAGAGGAGGTTTCTTGCAGAATTCCAGTAAGAATCGCGCAGCGAGAACTGTCGATATTACGGGAAAACCTTTCGATTATTAACACGGCGCATACGATCTGCTCGGAGCCGGGGAATGTAATAATATCGAGGCAGCGAGGAGGATCATCAGAGCCGAAGACAGAGGTGGACGGAAAGGCTGTGTGCGTGTGAGAGAGAGGAGGTTGCAGAGGTAGGTTGTAGGTGTGCATTTCTTCGGCTATGGTATCTATACTCTATGTAAAATACACGTATAGGTATAAATGTATGCGTGGTACTCACATGCACTCGTCGGGTCGGCTGCAGTGTCCGTGCTGCTCGTCGCATCCGGGCAGACAGCGGGCTGAAACGAGCAAGAAAAAAAAATGTTAAAGGTTAAGGCAACTCTCCGCGAGAGGTCGATCGCGTCCCTCACGACTGCACGAGCGGGCCAGCGGTATCATACCGATGCATCCCGATGCATTCCTCCTTATAGTAGTCGGGTACTGGAACTACAATAATTCACGGAGCCGGCCGCGGCTGAGGCCGAGACGATCGCGGCCGGGCGGGGGGCACGAGACGTTGTTAATCGAGTCGTAAAATCGATTGTGCGAGCCGCGATCGAAAAATCGGCTGCATCCCCGGCTCGTCGCGTTACTTTCTTTCTGTTAGCTATGCGCGCGATTGGGCGATTTAGAGGTTTCCAGGCTCTGCGTTTTCTGTGTGTAGAACTAGTGGATTTAGACGTTTCTGGGCTTTGTATTTTCTAAGCTTAGAAGGAGCAGCTTTGGAAACTCCTAGGCTCTGTATTTTCCATGCGTAGAACTATCAAAGTTAGACACTTTCAAGCTTTGTATTTTCGAAGCGTAGAACTAGCAAATTTAGAAATTTCCAAGCTCTGTACTTTCTAAGCGTAGAATTAGCAAATCTAGACATTTCTAAGCTTTGTACTTTCTAAGCTTAGAACTAGTAACTTTAGAAACTCCTAGGCTTTGTATTTTCCACGCGTAGAACCACCAAACTTAGAAATTTCCAAGCTCAGTATTTCCCACGCGTGGAACTATCGAAGTTAGACATTTCCAAGCTCTGTATTTCCTACGCGTAGAATTAGTGAATTTAGGGATTTCTAAGTTTTGTACTTTCTAAGCTTAGAACTAGCAGCTTTAGAAACTCCTAGGCTTTGTATTTTCCACGCGTAGAACCACCAAAGTTAGACATTTCCAAGCTCCGTACTTTCCAAACATAAAACTAACTTTCGAAATCCGTAAGCTCCGTATTTTCCACGCACAAAATTCCCAAACTGAGAATTCCCCAAACTCTCTACTTCCAGCCACAGAATTCTCAAACTTCCCTCTCTTTCCCAAAGGCAGCTAACGTTCAAACCCCATTGCCCTTTAAACGTTACCAAATCTGAGGCCACCGGATGAATGAATCCTCGCAACGGTTTCGACAGAATGACACACTGAGATGCTCGCGTGCACATTTTTTTCTGTTCCCTCGCGACGGCCGGCAGAGGAAGCGATTTCCCGTGTCGCATTGGGAAGAAGAGAGAGCGAAGCTGAGGACGGGAGAGAGAAGGCGAAGTCTCGAAGCGTTCACACCTCGAATTCCCGATGGGGATCCGTCACACGCCGGCCACCGGCTGATTAAAATTTCTGTCGTACGTAACCACGAGCATCGTTCCCGTTTTCCGGGAATCCTGGATGGGAACGGAGTCTGACCCGGCCGCGCGCGATGCCTCGCATAGCTGCACGTACCCGACGGACGGGACGGGTACACGGTCGTCGCTCGGGCAGCGCGCGCGTCCCGCAAGGCTGATAAAATTGTGTCACGTGTGAAGATCCGTATCTTATCGGCGCGGGTGCTCGCCCCTAACGCCCTGCTAATTGAGCCGTTCACGGGTCAAAGTGGCTCGATAGACTCTCCCGGCTCCTAGTTTCGAGCGTTCACCCCTTCTCTTGTAATATCGAGTCGGACTCGCGATGGGAATTTTTATCTGAGTTCGAGAAATCTGATTATTTCTTTTATGAAAATGAAATTTTTGTTAGCAATGTTTCCTTAGAGTAAACGTAGTCAGGGAATCAGCAGCAGATTCTTATCGTTTTCTACTAAATTAGCGAAGTACTTCTGTTAAGCACAGCTGCGAAAGACAGAAGGCGCTTCGGCGAGATGAAACGTTCAGATTTGGAAGGCTAAACAGCAGAGAATTTGATTACTCGAGCAGCAAGAGATCAGTGCGTAGATTCCTTTCGTTTATTACTCAAGATCGATGTATAATTTAGCTTCGTCTGCCGAAGGTTTCGTAGATTTCAAAGAATCATCGTGCGAAAAGGGTTGTGATTCGTTCTGTGTATGTAATTTTGGAAATTTTGATTCAGGTGAACGTAGTATAGTTCGTAATACTATGTAAATAGTATAACAGTTCACAGTCGACGAATTTAAGTAAATTTTCTGCTTCTCGTTCGACGCGATCGTTGATTCGCTCGAACGAGCGGGCCAATTGGCAAATTCCGGCGCGATGAAGACGAATCAGGTGTCCCCCGGTGCTCCTCGTGCAACGCGGGAAGGTTTCCGAAGAAAGGGGTGGGCCACGTAACGAAATTACGAGTAGGATGTTGCCCGAGGGACGAGAATATAGGAGCGTATCTTTGGCCCGACGCCAACGCGTGTGAGTTGATTTAGTGGATCCCCGCGAGATTTATGCAAATGAAAGCTTTGTCTGTATGTGTGTCAGTGTTCTGCGTTCCCGTAATGTTTAGTTTTAAACGGTTAAGTATTTTCTCCGCGGGACGATCTTGTTTGGCGCAAATATTATTTTTGGCGAGCATCCCCAAAGGTAAGCTCCGAGAGAGTCCAGAGTCTCCAGAGGACCGCGTCATCCGGCCAGCGAAACCAGTCATTCATTCCGAAGGATACAAACAGCGTCCTAAACAGACGGAGACAGAACAGGCCGGCAAGAAAAGAGAGGATCTCGGAAGGAGGCCCCGAAGGTCCGGCCGCCGAGGGTAAGGGTCGATCCACAGTATCGATCGGCTCTCGGTCCGATCGTACACGATCGACTGACTACGATACGAGATCAACATCCTTATCCTTCTCTTGAAATAGGAGAACCTTCCCTATGATTCCAAAACGACCACTGTCGCGACGTTGCGTTGCAACCTTAACCCTTCCGAGGTCGAGGAAGACTCGGTCGTTGCACTGCTGATCCGCATCTTAATGACTCTTAACGTTAATCCATTACGGAGGAAGATTCTTTGAAACGAAACCGACAGATGAAGCTAAATTACATAACTATGACACTGAAATTCACAAGACAACTTGTCAGGAATTCAATTCTATAGCCTGAATTTTTCGAAATTAAGCACTTTAACCCTCGGAGTATAGCATCCGCGTTTTTCCCATTTTGCTCGTTAGAATTTCTACTGTCGCGAACGTGTCAATAGAAGGAACCACTGATCTGCTGTCCGAGTAATCAGATCATTTGCAACTTGACCTTCCAAATATGAACGTTTCACCTCGAAACGTCGACATTCCGCAAGGGTTGAACTACAAGTGTCGCAGATTACAGAGCCAGTCTGAAAGTCCAAAGGAACTATAAAGGGTTGACCCTAGACGCGCAGCTCAGTCCTAAGCAACGAAGGACTGGCCGAGCCGGTAATTGTGGACCGAGCCTAAGGGTCCACAGGAACGCGGCTGACCCGCGTGTCTTCCTGAATGAAGGGGTTGAAGGTGGTTCGGCCGGATGGAAGGTGAGCCCACGGACTCGGCGGGGGCGAGGACAGGAGATGGGCCGGCGGCTCCGCGTGACCTTGGCACCGAGCGCAACGGCCTATCGATGCAGCGGCTATCCGAGGAGAGAGAGAGAGGAGAGGACCAGCGCTAAGGAGCTCGGTATTTATAGAGCGGAGAGCCGGAGGAGACAGAAAGAGAGGGAGACGGAGGATCCGCTCGATTCGGCGATCGTCCAGGGAACCCTCGAATCCCAGGGATTCCTGGACACGGTAAAAAGACGCCGCGGGAGGAACGGTGTTCCTGAATTAAACAGCCCGGATTACGATCGACGAGTTATACTTGGACGCCGAGCGTCTGCGAGGTAATACGCCGGTGTAACCGTGGATTCCGGGGATACAGGCTTTCCAGCTGCTCGCGGGACTTCGGGATCGATTCGTCAGGTGATCAACCGGAATTTTCACGAGAGAGAGGCCCCGAGCAGCCGACGCTGCGAGGAATTCAGCCGAGGGCGCAGCTTTGGCTGGCTATCGTCGAGGGTATCGAGGAATTCGATAAATGAGACGTTTATTCCGAGCGAATCGAGTCCAGTTTTTGACGCTAGAATTACCGAGCGTTTAGACATTTCAAAGTTTCTTTATAAATACTGACAGCGTGGACTTATTGAGATTTCAATTGGTATATTTTAGATTAGGCGTTACTAAATTAAATTCTTTAATTATCTCTTGAAGCGTTTGGACCTTTGTAATCATTGTAACAGAGGAAACTAGGAATTGGTCATTCTGACCCTAATTCTAGTGTTCAATCAGATTAATTGTTGTAATTGTTACGACTCTACATAATGGTTCTATTCTTTGATAGTTCTGTGTTTGGCGGACTGAAGCCACTTTCAAAGTAAAGTCAAATGGGAGTGTGTGATTTGTGGAGTAAATGTTGAGGATCTTACAAGGAAGAAGTTCTGATTCTGGATACCAGAATCCTACCAACGGACTTTTCCTACTTCCTAGTCAACGCGAACCAACTTTCCCCAGTTCCCCGCGTTCCAAACTCTCTCATCCGAACGAATCGCCGAAACAAAACTACACTCTGCTTGCCCACAAAGAGCAGTCCCAGACAAACTCACCCCCAAAGCGGAACCTCCGCCGTCCAACGTACCTATCGATTTTTCCTAGACACTCCCGATGTTCCTGACCTTTCGCTCCCCACGGCGGTGTCCCAACAGCGCGCCACCCCCCGAAGATTCCTTCCGTCTCCTAACCTACCCCCAAGCGGTCTACCTGTCCCGGGCGCATTGTTGCCCAACCAGAAAGCGCGTGAAAGAAGACGGCGAGAGTTCGGCAGGTACCGCGAGAGAGGCTAATAAAGACCTGGAAGGAGCTGGAAAAACGCGTGTGCACGGTTCCGGAGGGGAGGGGGGCGGTGGGGTTGAAATGGAAGCGGATTGTGAACACGGGGCCGGTGCAGCTGTTGGTTCGAACAGCGGCTCTCAACCGTTCTCGTCCGCGGACGCGCGATTTTTTAATAGCGACGAATAACAGACGATATTCTACAAAAATAAACGAACTTTCATGCTGGACGAATGGAATTCGAAGCGAGCACCGTTCTTTCGAAGAACGAGGAGTTTATCGTTCAGTG